CATTCCTCAGAGGGGACATCTACACTGATCATCAGGGCACTGATGAGCAGTGCCCTGATGATCAGTGTAGCCCCATCAGTGCCACCTATCAATGCCACCTTTAAGTGTCCATCAATGCCACTTACCAGTACACATCAATGCCACATATCAGTGCCTACCAGTGCACATCAATGCCACATAGTGCCCATCAGAGCTGCCTTTCAGTGCCAGTCAGTGCCACCTACCAGTGCCAGTCAGTGTCGCCTGTCAGTGCCGTCTATCAGTGCCCATCATTGCCGCCTAAAAGTTCCAATCAGTGCCACCTAACAGTTCCAATCAGTGCCGCCTATCAGTGCCCATCAGTGCCATATATGAGTGCTGCCTTTCCCTGCCCATCAGTGATGCCTCTCAAAGCCCATCAGTGCCTCCTCATCAGTGCCGCCTATCAGTGCCCATCACTGCAGCCTCATTAGTGCACATCAGTGCAGGAGACAAATTACTTATTTACAAAATTTTATAATAGAAACTAAGAGAAAAATTTTTTTAAAAAAAAATTTCATTCTTTTTTAGTTTGTTTAGCAAAAAATAAAAACCCCAGTGGTGATTAAATACCACCAAAAGAAAGCACTGTATCAAAAAAATTATAACAATTTTGTTTGGGTACAGTGTTGCATGACCTCACAATTGTCATTCAAATTGGGACAGCGCTGAAAGCTGAAAATTGGCCTGGGCAGGAAGGGGGTAAAAGTGCCCAGTAGGCAAGTGGTTAATTCACCCCCATCCCCCTGTGCTCGCAGTGGTGAATGCATACATAGTTACATATTTCGTCTGGCAACAAAAAAAAGACAAAAGTCCATCCAGTTCAACCATACAAAAAAAAAAGCTATAATCCTATACCCACAGTTGCTACAGAGGAAGGCAAAAAATCCAGCAAAGCATGATCCAATTTGCTCCTGCATTGGAAAAAATTCCTTCCTGATCCCCCGAAAGGCAATCAGATATTCCCTGGATCGACTTTACCTATAAATGCTAGTATTCAGTTATATTCTGCGTATCCAAGAAAGAATCCAGGCCTTTTTTAAAAAAATCCACTGAGCTGGCCAGATCCAACTCTTGAGGGAGTCTATTCCATATTTTCACAGCTCTCACTGTGAAGAAACCTTTCCATATTTGAAGATTACATTTCTTTTCCTCCAGACTTAAAGAGTGCCCCCTTGTCATCTGTGATGACCTCAGGGTGAATAGCTCTACACCGAGTTCACTATATGAACCACTGATGTATTTATACATGTTGATCATATCCCCCTTAATTTCCTCTTCTCAAGACAGAATAAATTCAGTTCCTCTAATCTTTCCTCATAGCTGAGCTCCTCCATGCCTCTTATCAGTTTAGTTGCCCTTCTCTGTACTTTCTCCAGTTCCCCAATGTTCTTTTTGTGAACTGGTGCCCAAAATTGAACTGCATATTCCAGATTCCATACGTAGGTTGTGTAAATGGTTATCGCTGTGAACGTTATAGCAATTTCTTTTTTTTTGGGTGGGTGGGGGGTTCTAAGTAATTTTCTAGCAAAAAATGCTGATTTTTAATTGTAAAAAAAGTGTCAGAACAGGCTTGCTCCTTAAACCGGAGTTCCAGCTGTTTTTATGTTTAATAAAGCAGAGCTCCACCCAAAAGGGGAAGTTCCACTTTTAAGCCTTTGTCTCCCGCCGCGTTTTGGGAACCGATTTCAGGGTGTTGTTAACTTAACTTACACACCCACAGCGGTTCACATGAGGGGGGTGCGATTATAATGTGGTGCGGAAATCACACAGAAACAGCTGCAAATTCCGCACTGTATCAGTGTGAACCCAGGCTAAGTGGAACTCTGCTTTAAGTGGATAGGCAAGTCTTTTACTGATCATTGTGCACAGAATAGAAGAAAACGTGTAATAACATCAGTGACATAGTTTTACGGCCAGGTGAATGGAGCCTAAGGCCAGGTGTCATGATGTCAGGCCAGGTGTCAGACACATGGGTGTCATGATTTAGGGTTCTTTCACAAGGTCGTTCCGTTTTTTTTCTTCAGTTCAGTCACATTTTTTCAAGGAAAAAACAGATGAGTTTACATCCGTTTTTTCATCCGTTTACATTAAGTTACATCCATTTATTTCACTTTTGCATCCGTTTACATTGATTTACATCCATTTATATCACTTTTTCATCCATTTACATTGATTTACATCCATTTATATCACTTTTTCATCCATTTTTCATCCTTTCATATCTGTTTAGATCCGTTTTTCATCTGTTTACATCCGTTTTTTCGTCAGTTCCGGGTTCTTTTGTGGAAGAAAAATAGGGTGTTAACGAAAAACGGATAATGAATGTGGACATTAACAGATGTAAAAAGATGTTCATCCGTTTACATCAGCAAGTCCATAGAAATACATTGGGGTCTGTTTTTCATCCATAAACGGACAGATGAAAAATGGACATACAGAACGCCCGTGTGAAAGGGAATAATACCGATATTTATATTCAGGATTTTGTTGACAGAAAGATCTAGAGTAAAATGTTCTGTAAAGACCGTGTGTTATCACACATGAAGATGCGTCTGCACGTGGAAGGTGTTTCTTCAATGACAGTGTTCCTAACCCCAGAAACCACTAAACAGCTCACCCACTCCCTCATCATATCACGACTCGACTACTGCAACTCCCTCCTCACTGGCCTGCCTCGCCGCTGGCTATCCCCGCTTCAGTCGATCCTGAATACGGCTACCAGACTCATTCACCTTTCCAACCGCTCCGTCTCCGCCACCCCCCTCTGCCAATCCCTCCACTGGCTTCCGATTGCGCAACGGATCAAATTCAAAATCCTAACACTGACGTACAAAGCTGTTCACCATACTGCCCCGTACTACATCACTGACCTAATATCCAAGTACCACCCAACACGCACACTCCGCTCCTCACAAGACCTCCTTCTCTCTAGTTCCCTGGTCTCCTCCTCCCAATCCTGCCTCCAGGACTTCTCCAGGGTGTCACCCATCCTCTGGAACTCCCTGCCCCAACCCATCATATTATCACCTACTCTCCTCTCCTTTAGGCGCACCCTGAAAACCCACCTCTTCAGGGAAGCCTACCCCACCCCCTGCTAACCTGCCGACCTCCTCCACTCTTCCTACCACTCCATCCCCCACAGCTATCTCCTCCTGTTCCACCATCCCCTCCCTCCTAGATTGTAAGCTCGAAAGAGCAGGGCCCTCGATCCCCTCATGTTTTGCATTGTATTGGTATTGTTCTGTCACATGTTCTGTCCCCCTTTGTAATGTACAGCGCTGAGCAAACTATTGGCGCTTTATAAATACTGTATAATAATATACATGAACACATAAACATGGGTATAATGCCTACATATGTGAACGCCCACACATTTCTGCAATGTAAAATGTTTCTGATTTCTGGCTCTGCTGTGTTTCTGGTCTTTACCTAGCTGTGTAATGTTCCATAGACAACAATGCATCTATATCCAGGTCAGTACAACACGTGGCCCTTTTTTACTCCCCTGTACAAGAGGCCCTCCTTGTGATTTGTATGGAGCTCAGTATTGCATTGTCCCCGGATGTCATAGAGAGCACCCAGCCTACACACACCTCCCATAGAAGAAAGGACCAGCACAGCAGACAATAGAATGAAATCTCCCACAATCCCTCGCTCATTCCCCACCCCCAGCCAGGATTAGTCTCACGTACACGGGGAAGGGCGTATCCGTATTCACAAAACCCACATGGAGCTACGCAGCCCCCATCCTCCATTCACCACCCGCTTCTTTACGAAGATCGCCCAGACCTCCCCGCCGAGCTCCATTGTCATCCTAAAGAGGCGCCGCCATGACAGCACAGATCGAGTTACGCTAACGGCAGAGTCTAGGGTCCCGCCCTCCGCCCGCCATTGGCTAAGCCCACGCGTTCTATTGACGTAAAGGGGCGTAGCCAGCAGCTGGTAAGCGAATCTTCTAGAAGAAACGCCGTTGCTTTTTCGCCATTACCATCGAGCCGTCGTCCGGTGTGCACTCGAGAGTGTCCTTCCGTTCATTCCATTCTTTTATCTCGGGGTCTGTGTGTCCGGACAACATGGAGGTGAGTGAGGCGGGGAGCAGTGTGGTCGGGCGCGAAGCCGGTTGGTGCTTTGTGCCGGTGAGTGGTGTGGAAGGAGAGCGGCTGAGTGAATGGCGGGCGGGGCGGAGAGATAGGTGAACACGTGCGCCCCCGGGGCCCGGTATGTGTCTGCGGGAGATGGTATTTGTGCTGTTAGAGGAGGGAGCTGGCCTTATGCTGCTCCTGTAATGGCGGCTCTTTGCTCTTCTTGGCCGCCATCTTGTCTCTTGCGCTCTGCAGTGTGAGGGCTGAGATGGCCGCGAGCACCCCCCCCCTCTCCTACTTGGTATACCCCCCCCCCCCCCCCATTCTCCCTGGTATGGTCTCCTCCCCCTGGGATATCCCACTCCCAGTCAGGGGGGAGCACAGCAGGGACACGAGTGCACGTTTTATCAGCAATTGTCAGTAGATCTGTGTGACCATGGTGAGGATGGCTGATTGGAGGGATCTGGGTTCCTTTATCTGATCATCACATCCAAAGGATAAATCATACATAATCATTGTGTTGGAATCTGCAGCCGCTCTGCATGGCAACCAGTCAGCTTTGAACTTTATTTTCAAATTTTTAAGTCTACAAGCTGACCGTAGAAGCTGATTGGTTAACAGCTCAGCTGCTCCATTGATCTAGAAATGACTGCAGGAACCTTTCATGAGGATTGCATGTCCAGAGAGCCGGCTCATGATACGGACACTGCTCATTGGCTGTACTGAGGAGCCTATGACTCCTATAAGGCATTAACCGGCTCTTCTAATAGGAGTACTGATCATGCCGAGGTGACTTCATTCTAATATCCTGATCTTGTGTGTGGGGAGTGTACCTCCTGAGTGGCGGTGGGGCCAATGTGTGGCTGATGGCTTACATTTCCTCTTCTTTGTGTCTTGCAGAGGGAGAAGGAGCAGTTCAGGAAGCTGTTCATTGGAGGACTCAGCTTTGAAACCACAGAAGAGAGTCTGAGGAAATATTACGAACAATGGGGGAAGCTGACAGACTGCGTGGTGAGTAGATGTGATCGGGGGTGGCAGGGACATTGTCAGCACTTTGGATTTTCTTTTGTGTTTTGGACTTCTCCTAACACAAATGGGGTTTTTCACTTTTTTTTTTATTTGATAAACTTGACTATTTTTGGCAGATTTGACAAGAAGCTTGTGTATAACACTGGGGTTTTTTTTTTCTTTCTTGTTAAATGTGTTCTCATTCACACAGCTTACCTAAAATTAACCCTACTGTTAACCCAGTTTGGCTGTAAAAGTGGAAATATACCGTACAAATCTGCTTTTGTACACCCATCACATTCAAGCTGCTACTGTAAAACCCACTATATCATTCTTTGCCTCTTGACCCCAACATCTGTTCACCTACAGTGAAGGTGATGTCACACAGGGTTCCTGGGGAAAGCTGAGGTTCCCTAATCTTGTTCAAGGTCTGGGATCCTGTACTTAATCGGAGACTCGGTGAAGTTAAATGACAGCACAAGATTACCTTTGGAGAATCTATCATGTCTAGTTTTATAGTTGAATGTACCCTTTTTACAAAGTGGTACTGACTTTTTTCTTTTTTCTCCTAGGTTATGAGGGACCCTCAAAGCAAAAGATCCAGGGGCTTTGGATTTGTAACCTTTTCTTGCATGAGTGAAGTCGATGCAGCAATGTCAGCTCGTCCACATTCTATTGATGGCAGAGTTGTGGAGCCAAAGCGTGCTGTAGCCAGAGAGGTAATGCTTGTTTGTGTGCCAATCCTGTTGAAATTTTTCCTGTCACTTGACAACTGCATTGTTGTAATTTGTGGATTTGTTTTCCACACTTATTTTATATTCCCTTTCCCTTTCAGGAATCTGCTAAGCCTGGTGCCCATGTTACAGTTAAGAAACTCTTTGTTGGTGGTATCAAGGAAGATACGGAAGAGCATCACCTTAGGGAATACTTCCAGGAATATGGAAAAATTGAAAGCATAGAAATTATCACAGACAAACAATCTGGCAAAAAGAGGGGCTTTGGTTTTGTAACATTTGATGACCATGATCCAGTTGACAAAATTGTTTGTAAGACCATTTTTTCCTGTGGCTTAATGTGCTGTTCTATATAATCTGTTTATGAAAAGCGGGCATTTTGGATGTTTGACACCGTTTTTCCTTCCTTAGTGCAAAAATATCACACTATAAATGGACACAATGCTGAAGTCAGAAAAGCTTTATCAAGACAAGAAATGCATGAAGTACAGAGCACCAGGAGTAGCAGAGGAGGTGAGTTTTGGATTCCCAGTTGCTCTTATAGCTGCCTTATTTTGGCAATGTCACTAAATATGCTTTGTTTTTTGGTTTTTAGGCAATTTTGGCTTTGGTGATTCACGTGGTGGTGGAAACTTTGGACCAGGACCTGGAAGCAACTTCAGAGGAGGCTCAGGTAAATGGAATGCCTATACTGGTTTGTCTATGGAGTGGTTGTTTGGGTGTTTTTTCTCTCAATTGAAGATATTGATGTGATTTGTATGTCCTTTATAACAGATGGCTATGGTGGAGGACGAGGTTATGGGGATGGATACAATGGATATGGTGGAGGCCAGGAGGCCAAGGAGGCAAGTGGTTTTTTTTTTTTTTTTTTTTTTTTTTTTTTTTTTTTTTTTTTTTTTTTTTTTTTTTTTAAAGGTGCTTCAGATACCCCTGGCTCTGGGGCTCCCATAGAATAGAAGGTAGATCTACTTACTAGCAGCTGCCCCTCAAGGGTGCTTAGTTTCCCTCCCAAACACACGTACACAGAACAGGGCCAGTTAATTGACTTAGTGTGGTATTTGGCACAGATCCCATCCCAATATTTTTAGTGTAGATATACTGACTTGCTTTTATTTGGGAGGGTGGGGGTGATGTGATACTTCTGCTATACTGGGACTTGTATCGCACAAATTTGTTGCCTACAGAATTATGGCTTCTAATTTGTTACATTCGTTTAGGGTACATTGAAATGTAAAAAATTGTGGCTAATATGTACTGCAGTAAATACCCCAATTCTGCGGTTGCTGTCCTTGGTCTGCTTATGCTGCTTGTTTTTACCCGTTCTCTAGGCCAGTGACTATCTGCCTAAATATGGACTTCCTCATATATTTTCTCTGCAGGTGGAAACTTTGGTGGTGGACCTGGTGGCTATGGCGGTGGACGCGGTGGTTATGGTGGTGGTCCTGGTTATGGCAATCAAGGTGGAGGCTATGGTGGTGGATATGATAACTATGGAGGAGGTAAACTTATAATCTTTCTTCTTACAAGTATCTTTCAGGAATGTGGCTGCAATTTTATTTTAACTCTTAAGACAAACACTTTGTGGTGAACCCTTTCAAATCAATGTTTTGCCACAGGTAACTATGGAGGTGGAGGAGGCGGCGGAAACTACAATGAATTTGGAAACTACAATCAGCAGTCTTCTAATTATGGCCCAATGAAGAGTGGTGGGAACTTTGGAGGTGGCGGCGGCGGTGGAGGCAGCAGAAGTATGGGAGGACCATATGGTGGAGGTAGAATTGGTAGTCTTAGGCCTTTGGGTGTTGCATAAACTTCAGAACGCCCCTTTGTCCTGGTGACCACAGGTAATGGTGATATGGACAGATCACACAGCAGAGGCTTTTTTTTTTTTTTTTTTTTTTCGGTTTAAAACTAGCTTGTGCATACTTAAGAGCCATAAGGCTTGCAGAATCTGGTTTCAGAACTTTAGACTTTTGCTGACTAAACAGCAGAGGTCCTAGGCTTTCCACACTCTTGGTATACAATTTCATATTTTCGCTTTTGAATAAGGGAAATTGCTGCCTTAAGTGTTACTAAACCCACAACAGTAAAATCAGTCTGTATATTCAGTTAAGTATGCTTGATATACTCACTGTGGAACCTAAGGGGTTAATCCTTTGTCTTTTGTGTACAAAAGTGGTTTTCATCCTGACTTCTCTGATCTTCCCCTTCCAATGCCCCCTCTTATCTCCTGATAAGACATCATGGTGTCACTCTGCTCAGTTTGGTGTGCATTGCTAGAGATCAGCACTGTCCAGAGGTCAGGGGTTCTGCTTTCTCCTAGAGCAAAATCAAACTCCTACAGGCTTTAATCAGTGCTCAGCTGGACACTGATAGAAGTCACAAGACTGCTATATAGTGCTGATGAGAAGTTATTTAGCAGTTTTATATTAAAATTCCACATGTTCTGTGTACTGATGGAGACCAGATATAGTGAATGCAGGGTCCTGGGTTTAGTAACATTTTAAAGTGAGGCTACTGCCAACTGCATGTTGTATTTTGCAAAACCGTAACAAATGGCTTGAAAGGGTAGGAAAGAAGATTGGGTAGGGATGAAATTGCACAACTTTTAGGGGAGAATAAAAATAACTTTAACTTCCTGAGAGGAAATGGTTTGGTTTTTTTTTTTTTCCTCAGATGGTAACACCTATTACCAGGCACTAATGCTGAATAGGGTAGGAAGCCATGGGTAGTAAAAAGTAAACTAATGCAAGCTCTGAATTCACAAGGGCATCCTTGCACAAAGTGCTCTGAATTTGCTGAAGATGTGGCTGCAAGTTTGTCCTAAATTAGTATTTTCTTCAGGCACCTATTGTTTCTAGATGTATTTGCACATTACCATCCATGTGCAGTGGAATTTGAAAATGGTAAAGTGACTTGGCTGTTTTTGAATGCAACACAGGTGTACTTGACATTTTAACTCTGGCCTTTGTGGATTTTTTTTTTTATTTTTGTGGGGTGTTTTTGTTTAAAAACTGTTTTTTCCAGGTAATTATGGCCCTGGCAGTGGAGGCAGCGGAGGCAGTGGTGGTGGTGGTGGTGGAGGATATGGAGGAAGAAATCGTTATTAATTCCACTTTGTTTCCTCTGGGTAAGTCAACAAAGCATTTTATGCATTCATTTTTTTTTTTTTTTTTTTTCTTTTTGTATTAAAGATATGCTGAGCTCTTTAGCTACAGGTTAAGCTTATCAGGATAGTATTGTCTTTAAACTGGCTAGCTGGATATCATCATAACCTATTTTTACTCTTTACTTCTGTTGAAACAGGCTTCACTGTATAAATAGGAGAGGATGAGAGCCCAGAGGTAACACAGCTGCAGGTTATCGAGATTACAAAGTTAAGGAGTCATTATCTCAGTCATGCGTAGAACATGCAGTGATATGACAGAAGACACCAGAGCAGATACAGAGAGCCATTTTGTGAATGGAATGGATATATTTAAGTACATTACCTTTACAATGGAGGAAGGACTGTAAAATATGCCTTTTGAGACAGGTTTTTAGGTTTTTAAATGTTTATTTGTAGTGGTCTTTGTAAAGAGTGCAACAGCATTCCTTTTTGATAATGTTCAATTTCAGTTGCAGCTAACGTGACACTTTTATAAGATTTATGAACAGTTAAACTAGCCAGGATCATGGTGTAATATGAGAAGTTTTTTAATTTTATTTTCATTTTAAATTTTCAGTGTGTGTATAGTTAAAGCTGTTGTACACTTTCATTTAATAAAAAAATTCGAAAGGAAATTCTTGTCTCTTTCTAGATGTATGTATTGAATTGTGTCAAGGAAAGGTGTAGTACAAAGTGTTATGTAAAATAAAGTCTTTAAGTGTTAATGTGTGTTTTTGCAAGTTGTAAGGAGAAAAGAACCTAGATAACAAGGGCTATCTCTACAAAGAGAAGCACCTGTTCAGATCTTTTAGATGCAGCTGCTTCATCCATGGCGAGTAAAGGAGCTATCCCCAGCGAGGTACTCTACCCAGGGACACAGGTCTAGTGCAAGAGAAGCAATGGGTGCCGCCTCTAAGCTCAGTCGTTTTATCACTGAGCTAAAGTTCTGGATAAAGGTTTTACTACACTAGATTTAAGGATGACAACGAAAGCTGAGGGGGTAGAGCAAAGTAGTGCTAAGCTTCAGTTAAACTTCTTTAGGTAAGATCTGTTTTCTTTCTATTAACACAGTTTACAGTATAGTTTCTATTTGAGCATAAATGTAAACTTTTTGTTTGGTTTTTTTTTTTTTTTCTTTGCTTTTGTTTGTTTTTTTTTTTTTTTTTTTTTTTTTTTTTTTTTTGTTTGGTTTTTTTTTTTCCTTGTGTGTAATACATTTTAACTTTGCAATGCTTTTCGTGAGATTCTAAAGTAAGGTTTTTCTCTTGCTGGAATTTTTCAGCATTTTGTTTGAAAAGTGGACAAAGCAGTCTGACAAAGACTGAACTTCGTTTTGGCAAATGAAACAATGCACACATACTCGAGTGGCCCAAAATTCTGAAATCTTGCAGGATGCTACAGGTAACGAATAATGCAGTGAACAAAAATGGTGTGTGGGTGGTTTTGTTTGGTTTTTGTTGCCCAAAGGGGGAAAACCTGCTGTGGGTTCCACAAGTCTACCCAACACCCACTGGGGCTGAAAATGTGGCGCACAGACCAAAGTTCTAATCGGATGTCATGATGGGCCCCTTTAAAGTATATCCAAGGATTTATACTTAAGATCTGTGGATGATTCCCTTAGTATGCTGCTGATGTTTTACATATCTAGTCCAAGCCTCATTTAGACTTCTTTAACAATGATCAGTTTTTCTTCTGTTACAAAATGTGGAAGTGAATGCGTGGAAAATGCATCCTCTTAAGTCCTATAACTTTTCACACTGGCTTGTATTTTATAAAAATCCTGCTTGCTGCTTTTAGTGCATGTTCAGGTAAAAAAAGCACCTAAATTAAAATGACGAACATGCATCACAAAATGCAAAGCACCTGTGGGAAGTGCTATGTCCAGCCCAGAGGTATGAGAGGAAAATACAATGCGAACATCAAAAATGCATGCTTGTTTTTGATGTAGAGCAGTGTGCAAGTAGGTTAAATCTGCAGAGGGAATCTTTTTTTTTTTTTTTTTTTTTTTTTTTTTTTTTCCCCCCCTCAATAGCTTGTTCACAAGTGGCGATTGTGCTCTGGGACAGGAAAAGTAACACATTCAAATGAATGTGACTGCATGTGGGGAATGAGATGTAACTCATTGTGGTGCCATTAATTTTGAATGACACCCCAATGCAGCACACTAAACTTCTGTTGTGATCCGTGTTTTTAATTAGTGTGTGTCTTGACATCCCAGTTCAATGCACTGCTGTGAATATGAGTTGGCTCTTGAAGCCCTACTCCACAAACATAAACACACTTGCATTGAGGCACCTCAAGCAATGAGAGTGTTAGTTCCCTTTTTGTCTAGGGAATTTCAGAACAGGTAGTACTGCTTTTGGCAGTCTCCCTGCTATGGCAGCTTTAGCTCTCTATTGCAAGCTCCAACCCCACAGCTTCATGCAGAGACCTTAATCCTGTATTCTAGGTTTTAGAGGCTAGAGTGGTTACAGCTTAGAGGAGCTGTGGGGATCCTGGTGGATCAAGGAAAGCATTTTACTCAATCCTCTGCCCCTAAAAATGGCCAATTGCAGGGGGGGGCCTTGTTAGGATTTGGGCTGCTGCAGCTTGGGATCTGTCAAATATGTTGGTCAATGAGTTGTCTTTAATTGGTACTACTAAAGTTGTTCTAACTTTAGGTAAGGTTCCTAATATATAGTTTATATTTTTTTTTAGCTCAGACCAAACTAATAAAAGTAGCACAACAGATGTAGAGTAAAGATGAGTGCAGATGCAGACAGGTGCAATCCCTTAAATGTAGGCTTTTGGCTTGGCTCTGTCACAAGAGGTCAGGCCCTTCACTTGCTTTATAAGGGTTTACAACCACATTAACCTTTTTTTGTAATGATGGGCAATACTCTGAACTGTATAAACTTAAGTGTGTGGGGTTTTTTTTTTATTTTTTTTTTAACCATATTCTTTGTCTAACAGGTAATCTCTGGAGCAGGTAAAAGTGCAAATGGAGACTTGTGCACAGTATTCAAAGTAACTTTATTGGAGATGTTTGGTCCAGACTTCAAGATGCAGATACTTGACATGAACTGCCAGTGTTGGCATTTTAATGAACTTTTAAGCGGAGAGCAGACTGGTTCTGTGGATTTTTAAAATGTAATTTTTTAAATAAATTTTTTATAAATTGTTTTGCTTTTGTGGGTTTTTTCCAATATAAACTTGTATAAACCACTTTTTAGACTGCTGAATGCCTGATTAGAAACTGTCCAGACATTAAAATGTTACTAAACTCAGGATCCTGCGTTCATTCTATCTGGTCTCACACTGAGCATGGAAATGCAATTGTTAGTAAATATAAACTGCTACAAAAGTATTTAGCAGTCTTATGACTTCTATCAGTGTCCAGTTGAGCACTGGTTAAAGCATGTAGGAGTTTTCATTCTCCTCTGTCTGGACAGTGCTGATCAGCCCTGTGCTAATCACATGCCTCCAAGGTTCTCCTATCAGAAGATTGTTTCCTCCACAGTGAGTATAGCCACTGTCGGGTGATTGGACACAGTCAAAACAAAAACCTTAGGACACTCCTTCCTGGCTTGGCAAGGCTTCATGCTGGGGATTTTTTTTATTTGCTAGTATCTTGGGCAAGCTATAAATGCTGCATTTTTCTTTCCTGCAGCCATGGGTTTCAAGAGAAAATCGCTTGATTTCTCTCTTGGTCACAGTAGGTATTGGGTTCACACTAATTTCCTTGGGATATTGGCAGATTTTCATAAGAAAACTGGGGGGGTAAGCAGTACACTGGTGCTTAACCAATAGCCACCTGGCGGCCAGCAAAATGTAGATTTCCAGGTGGACGCCATATGGCGTCCTCCCAGGCATGTGCAGTTTTCACGCAGCAGCATGATATGTCACTAGCCGTGTACCTTGGACACGGCTGACAGATCTGAGTACCGGCCCCTGTTGCTGGTACCATGTGACCAATCACAGCAGGTGACATGACAGTTGTATACAATGGATGGCTTCATTCATGCCATCCATTGCATACTAGTGTCTAGCTGTGAATGGTTACAGCGATCACATGCACATGTCGTGATTAGCTGTGGCCAAATTACAGCTAAGCACAAAAAAAAAACCCTGGATGAATTGGTCATTCAGGTAAATGCTTGCTTAGAGCAAAGTAATTCTTTGCTATAAGCAAATTGTGTGGTTTTTTTTTTTTTTTTTTTTTTAAAAAAAAAAAAAAAAAAAAAAAAAAAACTTGCCCAAAGTAGTACAATGTTACTATGGTAACATTGTATTACTTTGGAGATAGTGACATATGAAAACAATCTTAAATTATTTTTTTTTCGTACAGTTACTAGTCAGTGTCCCTGATCACCACCATGCCAGTTATATGATGATGCTGTACTGCACTGGTGCCAGTATGGGGAAAAAAGTGAATTTTTTCATTTTCTGAAATTATGACAAAAAATACAACTTCAAAAAAACTCACCATACCTCTTATGAAGTATGTCAGACTGTCTACTTTGCAAAAAGGGGTCATTTGGGGGGATATCTGTAATGTTCTGACATTCTTGAACCTCAAGAAATTAGATTGGCTGTCAGTACTTTAAGATTGATCAATATTCAAATCTATACCATAGTTTGTGAACTATCTTTCCTACAAACTAAATACATCCTAATTTGGGTTATTTTCACCAAAGACATGTAGTAATACATTTTGGCCTAAATTTATGAGGAACAATTATTTGCAAACTCTTATAAGCGAAAAAAGCAACAAAACATGTTTGTTCCAAAATTTTCAGCCTTTTTTTTGTTTAGCAAAAAATAAAAAACTCCAGTGGTGATTAAATACCACCAAAAGAAATCTCTAGTTGTGTGAAGAAAAGGATAAAATTTTAGTTTGGGAACAATGTTTTATGACCGTGCAATTGTCATTCAAAGTGTGAGAGCATTGAAACCTGAAAAATGGCCTGGGAGGGAAGGGGG